CCTGAGTCGTCATCTGGCGGCAGCAGCGTGAGAAGCGTCGGCTAGAGTTGATCCGCGCCGTTGGGAACGTCGCGGACTTTGACTCGATCCCAGCGTGACTGGAGCTTACTTGCTTCCGACCAGCCCACGAGGATTCTCCTCAGGTATCTCCTGGAACGGTCGATCTGCAGTGCAGGGCAGCCTGTCCTGGCACCCTCACCAGGGGCCCTGCCTAGGCTGTCCCAAAAGCGCTGCTGCGCCGGTGCAGCGTCGATTGGCTTGTCTGGGATGCGTGGGCGGATCGCTCGGCCAAGGCATTACTACGGGGCGTGCACATCCTCACTCTAATCCTCGTCCGTCTGTCATCTGCATTGCCGTTGCAAGGGACTGAGCGTCTCGGGCTAACTCGAGTGGGACGTGGGCTTTTTGACAACGGTCCGCCGCCTCATCGCCCGCTCAAACGCAATTTGGACAGGGAACGACAGGCCCACTGACGACGCTACGGTGCGAACGGGCTTCGTGCTGAATCTCGCCAATCCCCTCGACATCGTACTTGAATGCTGCAGGCCCGAATTCCTGGCTCTACATCTGCTTGTACCCGTCGCTCTGACTACTCCTCATCTAGTCATCATCACTTGCTCGCCCTTTCACCCACTCCTCCCTCTTCTTGTTACGCAGCCACTGTTGTGACCCGTGACAACCACCTTCTCCATGGCAATGCATCTCGCCAGTATGGTACACGGCAGCGTTAGGGAGCGCGAGACGTTCCAGCACCCGACCTACTTCCAACAATCGCAGCCTCGCGCATTCCCCATGTCGGGTGTTGCCGCTTCGTCATATCCCGTACATGCTCCTTCACAACCACAGCCACAGCAAGTCGAGCAACAATACCGACAACAGCAGCAACAACAACAACAACAGCATCACCACCAACAACAACAACAACAACAACAACAATACACCCACCAAGCACAGCAGCAACAACAACAACGGCCGCAGTCGCCGCCATCACCACCAGCAGAGGAGAAGAAGCCTTCACTGCCGTCAATCTCAAGTCTCCTCGAGTTTGCCGGCAATGAAAAGGCTGCATCTGAGACGGGTAAGCACTCACCATTGCACCTTCTACCTCTTCATGTCACTAACATTTGGTGTAGCTTCTCTGAGTCCTCAGTCTCAACACCGCCAGTCATCATCGCCGCAACTAAGGCAGGCACAGCAGGGAGGGGCAGCAACCATGCAGCAACCATCACAGACGGTCTACACTCAAGTTCCTGCGCCGAGCAACCCAAGGATGACACTGCCTCCCACTCCCCCCATGCATCCAGACGTGGCCCACGACGGTACCCAGTCCCCTTCAGCTGCATCAAACCACTCCGCTGCATCGGCGCCCTACTTCGGCGGCTCGCTCAACAACATGGAGCCTCACCAGCAACGCCAGACCTTTTCGTCAATGCCTCCCATGAAGCGCGACTCGTTACCATCGCACTCCATGTCTCCTTACAGTACTTCAGTCTATGGCCAGTCTCCCTACCAGTCCTCGCCAGGCGCTGCCTCCTCAACTTCATTCTACTCGCCTGAGCAGCATTCCTACAACAGCGCTGCCATGTATGCGCAGCGACCCCTTCCCTCCAACTTCCAGCCGCACACAATACCATTGCCAGCACCTGTACCTAGTCCGGCTGGCAACGGCTCGAACCCGTGGCAACATCACCACTACATCAGCACCTCCAGCCAGTCCCAGTTTCCCCAGTCTCAGGATCGCTACATCTGCTCAACCTGCAACAAGGCTTTCTCGCGCCCAAGCAGCCTGCGCATTCACAGCCACAGCCACACTGGCGAGAAGCCCTACAAATGCCCCCAGCCTGGGTGTGGCAAGGCTTTCAGTGTGCGCAGCAACATGAAGCGACACGAGCGAGGTTGCCACGCAGCTTCCAGCACCACCCTGACGACATAACGAGCTACAAGCCATCACCAACCGTCTCACGCAATCGGCCTTGACAAGCCTAGACCTACCATCTAGTGGTCTACATCCACGACATGCTTTGTTCAGCCATATCTTGCCAACGATACCACTTGCACGCATCGGAGTTCCGGGCGTTTCCCACCGTGTCATGCATTTCACCGGAGTTTTTTTCGTATCATCAACGATATCCTATATCGCCATCGATCGCGATAATGTACGCTTATTTCGCAAATCTTAGTTTCTAGTCAGGACAGCATTTCGCTATCGCATCAAGGCGCATGGCATTAGCCCAGTCAGTCGCTTTTATTTTCTTGTATTATAGTAGGGAACCTGCATGAGCAATTCAATGCTCCAAGATGCGCTAAAATCGATCGAATCAATACTGTCTACGAAACCAACTGTGTTCATGCAATTGCCTGTGTCGATGAGTATTGGTCTGGCAGAGAAACGATGTTTTGCATTGCATGTCAGTAACCTCCTAAACCTAGCGGAAACTGAACACGTCAGAGCTACATGTGACACTCAAACGACAGGTCTTAAGCGCATAGATCGTTCACGACGGGTTACCCATGTCGCAACTTTCGCGTAAGAATTATTCCGCATCCGTCAGACACTGACCGTCAGTCTCGATGACTTCGAAGCTGCTTGCCCACGCTTCTACCACCCATGGCAGTCGATACATGCCCCGGTCTACGGCAAGTTCCCCGACTATACAAGCAGCAATAATGAATATTTGGGGTCTCGCGGATCATCATTGTCTCTGGCACATCTCCCGCGTTAATCTTATGCTGGACAATGCTTATTGCGGTGTGTTATGATCAGGGCTCAAGTTCAAGCGGACATTCATCCATCCACGCTTTTCCCAGGCGAGCCGCATTGTTCTGGAAACGATATCCGCAGATCCCAAAACGGGTTTTCAGGAGGCCAAGTCTAGACTATTGAGGATTCCCGTGTCGCCACGGTCAATACTGATGATATTAAGTATCTGCTAAGAGGTGCCTCGTCTGGAATCCCACAGAGTGTCGGCAGTCGACCCCTACCTTCCAAGGGAGGGCAAGTGCACCAGGATGATGCGCTGAGTCCAATTGTGGTGCGCCGTTGGTTAGGAGGCGTGGAGACAACATCGGGCCACTGACTCCCGACATATCGTCCTCGGAATATCAAAACACCTCCTGGGTTGCAGTACTCTGCATACTGGCAAACACTGCATCATGTTCTATGCCCGAGGAAAAAAACTTCATATGTCGTCATTTGTTGCTTATTTTATTCTGAGGCGTCTCGTCACGATTCAACAAAATAGCTTGGACAACACTCGCATGCATCTCCGATGTCCGGCTCCGGCTTCAGCGCAAAGCGGTTCGAGAAGGTCACATGTGGCTTGCAAATACAATCTGGTCTGGTCACCTTCCCGCGCATGCGTTCTAGCACATGAACGCATGAGCCTTGAGTGACGATCGTCACTTAACTATTCTCCGAACCCCGGGTCACTCATCTAACCATGTGGGATCACCAAATAACAAACTCGTGCTTTCAATAATGCTGAAACCAGCATTGTGGCAAGCATCGCAACAACAACGGCTTGTTGTCCGAACTCGTCAATGGGGTCTCCACCATGAGCCCACGTCAACATTAGAGTGAGCTCGGTTGCATTGGTTCACTGGCTGCCGTCAAAAGCAAAACAAATGGTCTGATTCCAGACCCTTGTGCAATCGTCTATCCGTTTCGCGGAGGAGGAATCCTTCGAATCCTTTACAACGGACACGACACCGCACAGAGAGCTAACAGTCTTTGTCTCCCCACAAAACGGCGGAAAGCAATATGCTCGGTAGAGGCCCTGAAACTCAACAAGCAATTCCAAGCTCTCGTGCGCATTGATCGTGGAGTAAGTGCTACTTGCCGGATGTGTGATAGAGTTTAGGCGAAGGCTGCCGCTGGGCTCTCTCACAAAAAGCATTCGCGGGATGGAGATGAAGGAGCGCCACCTCGACAGAAGTTCCCTTGAGTCGAGCTGGTTCCCGGTTCCTGCCAATCGGGTTCTTGGTACAGGTGGATCGGAGCGCCCCTTCAAGCCCATGGATCGTGCTCGCGAGAGATCTGCGCATCATCTTGGTTTTGCGCAAGTGTCTCAGGTTCTGGCTCCATCTCGCTTGCAATCATGGCGCATCCAGAACAATGTGATTGATGATGTGGGCAATACGGGCCATACGATGACTACCCATTGGGCGCAAAGCCTACTTCTACAAATTTACCAGCCACATGGCATTTCTGTTGCAGCGCACCCGTTTACAGGAATGGTGCGCCGAAGTATGCTGTCACCATGCGTCCATCAATTCCGGGAACCAAGAACCGATGCTCACGCCCAGCGGCGATCAAGGGAACGTATCGTACCATTTTGCCGCCACGACTGGTGCAGTCAAGTATTGGAGGTACCGAGGGAGGGGTACCTTTGTGGTTACAGCCACTCAGCGTTCTTTCTTGTCAACGACCATCACCAATCAATGATCCTTTGCATCGGACTCAGGCCCGCGACGGTTATTTGTGGGATGACGATGTTCTCAAAATAATGCAGTCACCTGCTATACGCGTAGAGTCCCCAGTGCCAACTTTTGTGGCCTTACATCGCACCCCACGCGCAGCTTCGTCGGACGTACGCAATCCTCCTACAGGCAATCTTTCCCTAGATTATGAACTTTGGGCGACCTGCCTGCGAAATTGTCGCGAAATTGTTGCTACTGCCGCCCTACGCGGCCTTGCGCATAACGCTCTGGACTATCAGCCATGATCCTTGTAAACCTGACCTTCGAGAAGGAGGTTTGCACGGAATTATCCATATCACCGACCGTTGCCCCTCCTTCTCTTCTCCGCTACTCATGACAATGCAAGCCAAGCAGGGACCTTGGTCTCGCATCCTGCCGTGGTCCAGGACCCCTTCTCATTACCGCCAGCTCGCCCGAAATTACCGACACGGTAGAGGAGAGCAGGTGATGTTCGCAAGAAGATTTGCCTAAAGAACCGCGATCGACAGCCGTCTTCGTGAGTACTTCAATTGCCGACAGCTATGCCAACAACGGCGGTGGTATTGTGGGTATCCATCGCTTTGGTACTGGCAGCAGGAGCGGTGAGTATCACCCTCCACCATATGCAGCAACGACCCATACCGATATCTGGTGCCTCGGACATTAATACTAGCCTTCGAGACTTCACGACACAGGTCAAAACGTCGGGGCATCCATAGTGTACCAGCATGCTGCCAGAGTCAGACGCGCACCCGCACCAGCATGACAGCTGTGATCGCCCATTTGCGCTCGCGCGGACGCCCATGCCTACCCTTTGCCCGTTCGCATTGTAAAGCACCACGAACCGCATTCTAGCGCCAGGCGAGTAAATGCTCCGGGGCTAAGGCTTCATGGAGTATGATGCGACTGTGCGGGCGATCTTGGGTGGGATAATCCTAGTTTGCAGTGACAGGCAAGGCTTGTCCCTGCACATCCGCATTGTCCAACTAGACACCTCTCAGTTTCCTCCCCGAATAAAGGAACGTTTGAGTCAAGAACAGCGATGCTATCCTAAGGGCCGAATCATGGAAAGTACCATTGCGCCATGCCGCCATCGCCGGATCATCTTCGTGCTTGCGAGTCGTTCCAAGAGATGATGCTAGCAGCTTGGACGTTGGGCACCGTCGATGATCGCCTCACTATCGCCCTCGCTACCAAATGTTGATTTCGCCGAAAGAGAGTTTGCTGTAGAAGCGATTGAGTTTGGCCATCTTGCGGGAACTAGAATCGCGCATATCGCGCAACTGTTTCGTGTGTCCCATGGTTCGCATCTGCCTCGCGTAGAAAAGTTTTACTGGCATCATGCCTGCGCGCAACGTGATGATGATCAGATGATGGATTACTGGACTTTCCCTTTCATCTTCAAGCGACGCGAGGCGTCGACGCACTGGGGTTGACCACGTCATCGCTCTAATCATTATCATATCGTTGTTAAAGCGCTCATAGTAGGTCCTTTTAAGGTAAGAGTGTCCGTACACGTGATTTTGTGAATACGGGGAAAGTCCTTGTTAACGTCAGGCACACAACGCGACAAACACGACCGAAGTTTAAGAGCTAGGAATGACCTGGTTGCACTCAGGTACACATGCTGCCTAAGGAGCAGATCAACCATGCAATCGGGCAACAATGAAGCTGTCGTCAATATGTAGGGATCACGGGCGCTTGGTAATGGCAAAGTCGAGTTGCCCATGGCGACAACACGTTTCCCATTGTCAAACCAAGGCTGTATTGTCCTATGTCATTCTTCTATCATCATCCCTGCGCAGCAACCACTTTGTGCTTTCGCGTTCGGTTTGGGGGCGATGCGACAACCGTACAGCCCACGAAAAGAAAGCTACCAGTTAATGCCTAGTACGCTCAATCACCGAGGAAGGATGTGCAGGTGGCCTCATAAGGCCATCGATCAGGTTTCCCTAGACTACTGAGAGGATCGAGCGCGACACATGGGCCGCGGCGCGTTTCTGTGAAGCTGCTCGGTAGGTGTACCGACTGTAGCCGCCAAAGGAGGCTCAAAGAAAGTTCGAAGTGGAGAGACCTGAGCGGTGTAGGCAAGTGACCGAGTCGGAGTGAGCTACAGTTGATCATCATTACGAATTGCGCCATCTAGAGATAAGTTCCTGAACGCGAGGCCGATTCAACTTCGGAAGAGTTGAGCACATCTCAATCTGTTTTCTATGTGATTCCCTACGGACCGAACGTGATATTGCTATCCACATCTCTCGTAGTAGTGCTGATGCCAGATGTGAGCTGAGCATACGAATACGTCTGGCCATCGTCGTATCAACTTGCAGATTCAGTAATGATATTCCAAAGAAAGCGAGTGACCGTACTTCTCCGAAGACTCATACGCAACGTGTCTTTACTAAATATGCGAAAGTGTCTCGTGTTTGTAGGTATCGCGAGCCAACCATGTTACGGAAGCGATACAAGCACCCCGTTACTCAATACCACTTGGGTTTGTACTGTAGTGTAGAATGACTCGTATCACGATGGTCAAGTGCTGTGGTTTCTTCGATGTTGCCTACTTTGGCCCGGTTGCACTACCTTCAAGTTACCGGCTCTCGATTGTGAACTTCGCAGATAGTTCTTGTAGCTAATGTCACGAGAGAGATGAAAGCAGCTCATATGTGTCGTTCCGGTGGTCATTTTCGCATAGGTGTTGTCTGGGTTGCTATATTCCTCAGTGGCTCATCACTATGCGCTATGGCAATATTACTAGATTTTGAGTAAACTATGGCATCAAACATTAATCGAGAGCTACAAGAAGTACAAGGTCCCACAGTATATGTGACGAGCAGTGAGCTAACTGACGGATTCTTACCGATATAAATATGCGTGGATGACAAGAAACTGAAATGCTTACAAAAGGCTCATATCATGGCACTTGACTATACCGCACACGGAAGTACCCCCCATAAGCCTCTGAATAGATTAGCTTTGTCGTGAGAGGTATTGGGACCTCTGATCCTACCAGTTCGCACGGTCGCTGCAGCTCTTGTGAGCGATCCTGGAACTCGACATTGAGAACTAATGTAATCATTCCACGGACAACTGTTTTCTCGATTTGAGCATACGCTATATGATTATTTGGGAGATAAGCCATGCTGTATCTTGAATTAGACGGCCTGTAGTCGTTGTCGTGTGTGAGGCTCCAGTCGGGCTCTTTTTCAATCTCTGCGGCCAGAACTTGGCTCGAGACTGTGCTGTCGGAAAGCAAGCTGATGGTACTACATGCGCGTTGGATTGTTTTTTTTTGCATTGTAGTAAGTTCGTGGTCAGGGAGGCGTGATTCCGCAGGTACGTACAGGACCTTGCATGCCCACTGGCCTATATATTGCATCTCGATATTGAACAAGATAAGTAGATGAGATCTCGATGGCCCCTGGAAAAGTATGGCGCTGCGACGGTGATCGGATGGGATGCGGTACTCAGCCTGCGATTCTTTTCCCTCCACTAAGGCGCTAAAGCTAGTGGTCCAGTACTGCGGACGAAACAAAGCATCCTGGCCTGCCGGTAAGCGGACAAGAAGTCCAGAACTTTCTCTCTGAGGACTAGAGTCATGTGTCACAAAGATAATCTTGGGAGACGCATCTACGTTTTTAACAGGGGTGAGAGGCCTAATAATACGAGCATCACGCGCGTACCTGTTACTTGCTTCTGGCCCGAGGCGAACGACAGGTAATCCAATTTGCATCTGAGGCGAGCTATAGGTCGAATTGTAGTCATTGCAATTCAGAATTGCCATACCGTATGGACCATCGTCTGGATGTATGACCGGGAGAACAATTGTTAGTCCTTTGTTCGTCATTGAGTATGGATTCTCGAGAGTTGAACCAGTCATCGGAAGTAGATGGTTGATTCCCCGGAAATGTGATGGATGTGGAGCTAAAGGTCCGCATGTATCGCCCTCTATACCCCTATATCCAACTTGCCATGCAAAGAAAGTCTCGTCATCTGATCGTTTCATGATTTCTTCCTATTACAGGTGAGTGAGTGTTTCCATTGGATGGAACAAGTATTATATGATCGTACCTGTAGACGGATAAATGCCCTGCTACCCTCTCCATAGAGTAGCGGCATATTGACACCGAAAATCCCTAGTAGGCAATATGCCATATCTTCAGGCCGGGTGGTAGTCCTTTCGGAAGCCCATGACATACGCTGTGCAACACTACACCTGCGGGCATCCTCACCAATCGGATACTCTTTAGCAATCCCTGTTCGAGTCGCTACTAACTCGATCAAGGTACTTCTTGTGCCTATCCTGCTCCAGCCGTCGGAGCCGTTTACATAGAACACCACAGACTGGGGAGCTATCAGCTCCTGCAATGTCCAACCTCTTGTCCACCATTTGCTTGCCATCACCTGATATGTGTTCTCCACATCTTCAGTGTTGAGCGTTCGTATGCTAAGCGGAATTGTTACATCTGATAAGTAGGCATAGCAGACCACAGCTCGTTGATACCATGCATACATGGAATTGATGGCCTCTGAGAGTTCTGTACTGGAGGACTTATCGATACAGCATGTATCAACCCAAACAAACTTTATCTTGTCTCTTTGTGCTCGATAGCAACATCGTTGTATCTTCCTGAATCCAGACTTGCTTTTCAAAGCGGGCGTCCAATGCTTGAAGCACTGGTATGTGACTTCTTCGTCTTCCCACCGATGTGAGAGAATAGCGTAGGGCGGTATGGAAGAGCCTTCGAACTCCTTAAATGTCAGATCAGCCGCGTTGAGTAGGCGCATGTTGTCAGGTTCTTATGCAACCTTTTTATTTATAAATACACACAGGTAATTAAAAGCTTCAATGAGCGCAACTGTTATGTATGAGGAATGTGTTTGTTGTAACATTGTAGGCGCGAGTGAGTTCCATAACAAGGCTGAGCCAAGAGGGCACGGGGGCGGAAACCTCCATGTGACGTCCTCGTATTGCAGGGTAGCTAGCAAAGAGACGGACTACAGAAACCGCGCTTTGCGAAAAGTTTAAGATGAAACACACGAATTGTGCTGAGAATAAAGGAAAGAATGAGATTTCCCTCGACACTAAGATACACCATATGTAGTACTGATGTACGAAAGGCATTGAAGGACCGTTGCCCTATGAAGATTCGGTCTTGCGTCATATTCGTGATGCACGCGCGATTTGATCTGCAGTCAGCTGATAGTCGTAGTATAACTACCTATTGTGATAATCTTCTCCAATGTGGCGTAGAAGAGTATCAAAAAGGCTGCCCTGAACTCCATAAAGTACCTCTGAGTGTAACTCAACTGCCTTGCACGATGAACACATGAAAACTTTGATACTCGTAGTCTCAGCCTAGAGTTCGATCACACCCTGCTCTTGCTGACCCATGCCGAACCAGCTTCCGATGGCGTTCCACGCGCTCTGCTTCTCGCCTGGCAACTGAATGCCATCAATCTCTTCTTGTGTGACGCTGTACCACTCTTCCTTCGGGATCCATCCAATGTAGGCACGATCTCCGAATCCTCCGATCCAGTATATCTCCTCAACGACCAGACGCACCCACTTGCTCTCGTGGACGCCTGAACCCGGCAACCACCACGCAGCATCGGGGTGTTTCTTGACATAGCAGGCTGTCACACCCAGCTTCTTGATAGCATCCATATCAATGTCTTCCAGACGACCGACAAGCGAGAAGCGAGGGAGCGCTGCAGG